TAATAAAGAGTTGCATGCAAASATAAGGTCTAAGTTAATTAATTTTAAAGGGGYWTAAAATTAATTAGACCTTAGGTTATATCTTCTAATGTGATTAGGGGGTAGTCTTTTATTTTGTTTTAACTAGGTTTAAAATGAAATAACAAAAAACTAAATATAAAATGTTGTCTATAAGGGAAMCYTRTCTAAGGAAGRTTCTGTCTAGGCTGAGGTATTTAARYTGACCRTAAGGGAAMACCTCTACCTGGGAACCGACCTGGGGGTTGAATTAGTCAATATTTTATATACAAGCAATAATGTCGTTGGTTTATTAAAGTGTTTAACGAACTAAAACATTATTGTACAACTTCCGATATAATAGTTATATTAGGCCGACTAAAAATACACTTAGTTAATTTCACTTAGCCGGAATTTATCTAAGTAATATACCCTAGTCTTAGAATACTAAGTGGGAGCAAAAGAGAACATATAATATACAACGTATATATTTGATATACATATAGTGTTCAGCTTGTACGTATATATTTGATATACAACGTATATATTTTATTATTCCCACCTCATCTCACAGACCTTCTTGTACGTGGAGGCATATTCTAATAACTACAATAGTGTTCAGCTTAGTTTAACATCACACCAATAAACATCAAACATATTGCATGTTCATAACAATACAACATACTATTGTATATTTTTTATGCCTATACATTTTTTTCTTATATAAAACAAAATTTGCTAAAACAAAAGACATACCTGGCGGTGACAAGATATCTATGTGGCTGGCCATGGTAACATACTAATGCTTACGATGTAAACTGTCTACAAGACCATTAACTTGCTCTGATACCAACTGTAATGACCCGACTTTTTGGGACTTAAACTTCTCAGGGACGTTGCTGCATGCATGCTTTCAATATTTTAAAAGTCTTTTAAAAATAAATGATAATAAATAAAACAAAATACAATCTCATAACATAACTATATAAAAATAAAATAAAATAAATACTTTATTTGGGATCCCATAAATAGTTTACATAAAACATAATATTAAGATAAATGACTCATAATGCAAATAAAAAAAACATGAAACTAAAGCGGAAGCGAAAACCCATGGCACAGCCTGCAGACATCCTCGTCACACACCTTGTACGTATTTATTATTCCCTAAAAACAATAAGTGGAAAGAGGTGAGTATTAAAAATACCCAGTAAATAACCCAACTAACGGGGTCAGACATGCATACACATACAACATGAACATGTGGGACCTAAATACTTATTCAGTCAAATTCTTTTCCTTTTCCTTTTCCTTTCCTTTCCTTTCCTTTTGGTCAAAGTGAGCAATTAACCAAACCCTCACACAGAATACCAACTCCATTATAGTACATAGGTGGGTTTCCCGGCAGACTCTACCCAAACTAATGGTAGTTGACACCCAGTTAGTAGAGCGAAGTCTCACCCACCTAGGTCCTCAATTTCAGTCTAGTCGTGCATTGCACTAGGGTGGTTGCCACAACCTTTATATATATAAATATATAAAAACAGTTTCACATTCAAGATCATACATGAGATCCCATAACTAAACATTCTGTAATGCAGCACAACAATTTCACATAACATTCAATTCATAAACAGCAATCATCATAGCCATTCAAAACATCATATAAAAATTCCAACCTAGCCCTAAGGCATTCTGAAAGCAGAGTCCACTTACCTCAATAGCGATCCAAAATAATTGTTGAATCAATCTACGAAATTTACTGGCCTAGCTTAAATCAATTTCCCAAAAATTAACTAAAATAAAAAAAAAAACAATAAGATTCAACTGATAAAATTTAACACCTAGTATAAGGATTACCAAACCAAAATTTATTCGTGACATAACCGACTGACGTTGGATGCGTGTGCGAGGGAGGAGAAAATAAAATAGTTCTGCCAGATGGAAAATTGAGAGAGAGGAAAGGGAACCATATAATATAGGGTTTGTGATATTCTTTTTAAGTAATTCTAAGCCCAACCCATCTTTTATTCATTTCTTTTTTAATTTCTTTTATCTTTCTTTTCTTTTATTTTATTTTCTTAATATGCTTTGTCTAATAAAACCTTACCTAATAAATATTATCTCTTTTTTTTAGAAAAGATAATAACAAATAACATAAAGACTAAATTAGAAAAAATCTCTACTGTAACGAAAATAAAAAAAAAATTCCTAGTTTATGGGCTTAAACTACTAAAATATCATATATAAAAAAATGCGGGGAGTTATCTTCGTTCTTATATTTTTTACCTTTGTTTATTTTGGTTCAAGTAATTTTAAAAACTGATATTATTCATCATTTTGTTTAGGTTAAATTAAAATTTTGGTCTTTATGATTTGGAAAAAGTTTGGTACTCATTTTTAAAATTTTAATTTAGAATCTTTAGGGTCCGTTTGATAACCATTTTTGTTTTTGGGTTTTCTTGTTTTTCATTTTCTATTTTTAAAAAACAAATGTTTGATAACCAGTTTTTGTTTTTTGTTTTTAAAAAATAGAAAACCAAACATGTTTGGTAACAATTTTTAGTTTTCTGTTTTTAAAAAGTTAGAAAATTGAAAATACATATTAGAGAAAAAAATTTATATGTAGTGTAGAGATGACAATGATGTGAGTACGACTAGGATGCTCTCTCCAATTTTCGTGCTCGTGAAAATTTTTAGTTCCCATCTCCACCTCGTTCTTCGGTCCGAGAGATGTTCTCGAGAAAAATTATATGTTTTATAATTCTTTTTAATTAATTTTTAGAATTTAAGTATAAAAAAGTGTACTAAAAAAATATATGAATTATTAAAAAAATGGAATTGGAGACGGGGTTAGGACATGCATTTCCTTCAGGGCCTGGCCATGCGGAAATTTTTGTCTTAAATAAACTTTTGGAAGATAAATTTTAGAGGGATAAATAAAAAGATTTAGAAAAAAATTGTGAAATAAAAGTTAAAACAAAAAGGGAAAAATTTAGAGAGAAAAAGAAAGTAAAATCAAGAGGAAAATATATGTTAAAGAAAAAAAAGAATTTATAAAGAAAGAGAAAAATTATAGTGAAAACAAATTTAGACATAAAAATAAAATAAGTATTGAGCAAAGAACTAAATTGTTATAAATTTTACACTATAGAGACTAAATTGCTATATACTAAAATTAAAGAACTAAATTGTTATCATTTTGAGTACACGGACTAAATCGTTACAAATAAAAATTTAGAGACCAAATCATTACTTTAATGAAAGTACAAAAATCAAATTTTTTTATCGATAAAATATATCTTAACTAGTTGATCTATAGAACTTTTATCCTTTAGGGCCCGTTTGGGTTTTCTGTTTTTAGAAAGCAAAAACCATATATGTTTGATAACAATGTTTGTTTTTTGTTTTTAAAAAACAAAAAACTAAAACTTGTTTAATAACCATTTTTAGTTTTTTGTTTTTAAAAAGTTAGAAAATTGAAAATACATATTAGAGAGAGAAAATTTTATGTAGACTAGAGATGACAATGGTGTGGGTGCAAGTGAAGATGTTCTCCTCCATTCTTGGGCACGTGAAAATTTTTAGTCTCCGTCTCCACCTCGTTCTTGAGTCCGAGAGATGTTCTCGAGAAAAATTATCGATTTTATAATTTTTTTAATTATTTTTAGAATTTAAGTATAAAAAAAGTGTAATAAATATATATTAATTATTTAAAAAATGGAATCGCGGATGGGGACGAGGTCGGGACATCCATTTTCTATTTTTGAGACTCGACTCTGCAAAAATTTTTGTCTTCCCCTAATGTAGAGACATGAAAATAGAGATGTAAAAAAACTTTTGGAAGATCAATTATAGAGAAATAAATAAAAATATTTAGAAAAAAAATAGTGAAAGAAAAGTTAAAGAGAAAGAAAAAAATAAAGATATAAAGAAAGAGAAAAATTATAGTGGAAACAAATTTAGAGATAAAAACAAGATTCAAAATATAATTTTCCTAGAAAATAAATAAATACAAAGATAAATAAAAGTTAAGAAAATTAAATGGAAAAATAAAATATAATTTTTAGAGGAAAAAATAGATTAGAAAAAGAAAGAAAAGTTATAAAATATGAAATTTTAGAGAGGAAAAAGTTAGGAAAAATATTAAATTTTTAGAGAGAAATGAAATTAGTCTATTAAAAAAAAACAAAAATACATAAAAATTTAGAGGAAGACAAATAACACTAAATATTCAAAATATGAAAATTTTGGAGAGAGAAAAATAAAGTTCGTATAGAGAAATTTAGAAATAAAAAAAATTAGAGTGAAAAATAATTTTTTAGAGATAAATATGAAAAAGAAAAAAAAGTTGAGTATTAGAAGAAAAATGGGACAAAATCCTGTTTTTGAAAACTATTTTTTTTGTTTTTAAATTTACATAGAATTTAAAAATGGTTTTTGAAATGAAAAAAAAAAAAATTGAATTGATTATCAAATAACCACCAAAAATAAAAAACGAAATGATTATCAAACCAACCAAACGAAATGATTATCAAACCAACCCTTAATTATTTCTGTGATTTATAATTTGTTTGATTGTTATGCAATTAAATTGAAGTGTGATAGTCATTGAACAAAAAGTATGATAAAAGATTTCGAACATGCCAATATACAAGAATAGTTCGAGACAACACTTATACTTCGCAACCCTAATATTTTCAAATAAATTTCATACTTTGGTAGCCTTGTACAACATTTTCTCCATATATATTAGTAAGCAAAAGAAAATAATAAATCAATTTACTCTAAACCATGCAGCCAACAAAGATTAATTCTCTTCTTCCATTTTCTACAATGAAGTCTTTAAGATACAAGAATATTATTAAGTTTTGTTTGCCAACAATTTAATTGAAGTATGAATTGAATATTTAATATTTTCTAAAAAAATTTCATGAAAATGCAGAAACTTGTAAATAAAAAAAATATAGATCCTAATCTATGGAAACAAAAAACAAACCAAAAGCTCCAAGAACATAAGGGATTCATTTCCATGTGTCCATATCTATTCCATTACGAAAGCTCTATCAAAGAGTCGAATAGGACATGCAGTAATCTTCATATGAATAAATGTTTACCCAAAAGTTAGGGACCAAAAGATAGGAATTCTGGGACGAGCTTCTGCTTACTCTGCAGCAGCTGTACCGTTACGTTAATAGATCTCCTTTCGACTCGTAAAAAACATGAGTATACACGTTTGCTCCTGCTACTGTCGCATTTCTGTACATTCATGTCAATCAAGGTCATTGGGACAAAAACCACAGTTTTCGTTATTCCTGTCAAAATTTTCATGCACCCAAATAAGTTTGGGAAACAATATGAACTAAACTAGCAAGTTGTGGATACATGGCTAAAAACTTGTAGCACATCTAGTAAGAAAGAAACATACTAAAAAGGACAAAGAGGATTTACCTTGGTAATCTTGAAGTTGTGTGGCCCTTCCAGCTCAAATTTTCTTGCTTGCAGAACCAACACCAACAAACAATTTGTGTATAACACAAATAATAAGCCCATATGAATACAGCCTTTTCATTCACTGAAGTTTGGCATTGGAGATACTACTAACTGCTTGTGCTTTTCGTCTTTTCTTTGCTTATAGGTCTGTCTTTGGTTGCGCTTACTTCTTTCCGTATAAATTTCTTTTGCAGTTTTGCAGCATCCTCCAATGAATTACTCACTTTAACATTAGTTTGTTCAATGTTCTCCCTTCCAGCTCTCTTTGATGTGGCTTTATCAGGGCCCTTTTGAACTGCACTCTTGTTTCTGGAGGGGTTATCTGTATTCTCCTTTGAACTGGGATCCTGATCAGCATCAGGAAGCAGTGCACGACGGCTAAGGCGGAGCTGCCCCTTCTCATTTACCTATATCATTGTGATAATTAAGAGCTAAATAAATACAATATCATTTAACATTTACTCCAAAAGGACCTATGATTATCAACATCTTCCTCGTATTTGTCTTTCTAAATGTTTCTAATAACAGATACCATATATTGAAGTTGCAAAAAAAGTGAGCCAACAAGAAGAATTCTCCAGCAAGCAAACAGAAAAGCCTATAAAATAAGCTTGTACCGTTGAATTAATCCTAGGAGTTAGAAATCTTGTCGACATTATTTTGTTTCTAGTTTCTAGATGATGCTCCTTATCTAAAATTTTTTGCAACTATTCTTCATTTCTTATTCACAGTAATTGGGGATTAATAGAAAAAGTTAAGAATGTTGCCGACGTAGTGTGTGTATATATATATATTTGTTTTAGCTTCTAGATCCTTTTATTTATTTAATTATTTTTTAACAAGAAACAAACTTTTCTCTGTTCTTTTATCTTAAACTTTCTGCAACTATTCTTCCTTTCTGATTCTCATTATAGGAGAAAGTTTTTGAAATCTAGTTCCGAGTCATGCTAGGAATAGATTCCTTATCACTATCTTCCTTGTACATTTTGATCACTGATTAGGATCATTTAATGAATCTGCTTTTATGTTATTTGTTACTCTGCAATTTCCTTCTCATTGTTTGTGGGATAGATTCCTTATCACTATCTTCCTTGTACATTTTGATCACTGATTAGGATCATTTAATGAATCTGCTTTTATGTTATTTGTTACTCTGCAATTTCCTTCTCATTGTTTGTGGGATAATTTTCTTATGAGAGGTAGCTAAAAGCAAGTATAGATTGGGCTATTAGTATACTATTTATACTTTTAAAGTTGGTGATTAAAACTAAATATTTCTAAGATTGAAACTCAGCCCTACTTTGAATGTTACATAACATAACAATATTAAGAAAGAAACCAATAGTTAGCAGAGCTGTTCTTAGATTTCACATTTCCTACTAGTACTTGTTTCTCAAATATTTGTAGCATTTATATGATAATTAAGTAGGCATTCTATTTAAAGAATTTTTTTAGAAGAAACAATTTCATTGATGAGATGAAATTACAAAAAGGGAGAGAACCCGGTGAAGGGTTACAAAAAAGCTCTACTTAAAGAATAAAATTGAATCTCTTATGATTACTAGAGTAGGTCTAAATACTATTTTTGTACTTGAACTTTTATATTTATTACCTTTCAACTTTCTACTTTTATATTTTAGTTCTAGTAGCATTAATTTTTCTTTATTGCATTTAACAAAAATTTTAGACTATATATTTCAGAAAAAAAAAATAGACAATATGTTAGAAGACTTGATACACATAGTTTATATAAGTCCATGTGATATGCAAAATTTCTTCTAAATGCAATATGAAAACTTAATATGTAGAGACCAAAATGAATTTTATGTAACGTTCAAGGATGTAAATAGAACATTTGAAATTATGGGATTTGATAATACAATCTAGCTTTAATCCTAAGAAATACTCTACAAAATCTTTATTCATTAACCAAAACTATTGAAAATGCAAGGGACTATTCCTCTATTTATAGGAGGATGTCAACTCCAAACTAAGTAAAAACCAATTTATACTTTTTTTTTATGAATAAATTAAGTAGGTGAAGACTATATAAGTTATAACTTGGAAACAATCAATAATTCCATAAAATCTCAGAACACCTCTAGGGCATAGAATCTAACCTCAATGAGTTTGACATCAATTTTGTCTCCAACTTTAAAAGCCTGCCACAGGAAAAAGAAAAAAAAAAAACTTTTTATCTAAAATGTCATAATCTTCACAACTTTGACTGAAAGAACATTGGCAAGAGTCAAAAAAAAAAAAAACAGAAAAAATTTACTCACGTCTTCTGCCTTTGCCAACCAATCTGAGCTCAACTCACTAATATGGCAAAGTCCCTGCAAGAAAACTTATAATAGGCACAAGTCAAGGGACCGTCTAGTTTTGCATAAAATGGTTTTACGAAAGTCAGAAACTAAAATATGACAAGAAAGGAAATGGGAAATAAGGCTTTTAAAAATAAACAATTATGTAACAAATTGCTAATTTTATAAACAAGGAGAAAAAGTTCATCAATCTCATTGTTTATAATGACAATATAAGTTTAATTGATAGCATTACCATAGAACCTAAGAGTTTGAAAACTTCGTAAAGATAAATTTGAAAGTATAGATCTAAGGCAAGATATTACCTTTATTTAGGGGTGAGCAGAACCAAAATAAGATACTAGTTTGTTTCAAGGATATGTACTCTAGATACATCGAACAAAACTGGAATGGTACATTGTAGGGTACAAGCACACACATCTCAGTAAATTTACAACAAAGATGGGTAGATCAAGAAACTTCCAAAAAATTAGTAAGTTAATAAATAATATATTCATCAAGTTGTAATGATGTTGCTCTAGCAATGAGCATTCTAGTTACTAGTTAATGTAGGTAATTCCACATCAGCTGAAAGTGAGGGAGTTCGGGGGTTTATAGGTAAGGAAAAATGTCTTACATTGACTTAAATTCTCTTGATAGAATCCATACATAAATATATGCGAGCTTAGACCCAAAATGAAAAGTATCACCAATCATAGTAGAGATTTGAAGGATTCATTGTCCTAATCAAGGATCTCATTTTCTGTCATACATGTTAGCTCAACTGACTAAGAAAATTATCAGCACAGCAAAGAATCTCTCTAAAAGAAATGCAGTGTAATTAGTAGTACTTTCGTAATTGTTTGTTTGAGTTTGTCAGTTGATAATTGGTTAATAGTTGGGTTGTTAAGTAGTTTGTTAGTAATTGGATAACTGGGTTTACATCCTCTCTTTTATTGAGGGCTAATCTTTTGTATCAGCAAGATGTGTATAATAATAGAGACTACCAGTGAGAATTCTTGAAGTTTTAAAAAGCTTGCTAATACAAGAAATTAACCCTCGACTCAATTTACAGAGGATTTAAGCCCACCAATCCAATCACAAACAAACGTACAATCAACTTAACAACCCAACTAACTAAATAACAACTAACAAACTCAAACTAAAAATTACAAAATCACTACTAATTATACTTCATAAAGGTTTCTGCCATCATTTATGCATAAAAACAGTTTCAAGTTTCTGCCAGGCATTACCTCTCGTCCAGGTGCTATCTCAACAAAAACACCGTAAGCAGCAACCGTCTTTATCTCACAGTTCCTGGAAGGAAAAAGAAAGAGAGTCCGAGGTAAAACTCCAGTAGTTTTGTTCAAATAAAATATAAATTGTTTAATATAGAGGACACTGCAGCAATTGATAGATTTATAAGTATGAAACTTTATTCATGTTAAGTCATCACTCAACTCAAAAGCTTAAGTTGATGAGTTACAGTAACTTTAATATTTTATCAATACTTTAATATTCTCCCTCATTTGTGTGCTTGCTGCTTATGTTCAACAAGTCAAATCAATATTAATGGGAGAGAAAATGACATTACAGGGGTTTGAAGACTAGACCTCCTCTAATTCCATGTTAAATCACAGCGGAACTTAAAAGCTTAAGTTGATGTATTATGCTAAATTTAATCTTTAATCAATACTTTTTAACCCGATCACAATAACTTTGAAAATAAAGAGATCTGCAGAAGCACTGTACCAGAGTAATGAATGAGCCAACAATTGCACGAAAAAAGCTCATTAAGCTCTCGTGTTCAAAATGATTACATGATTCTTAGAACTTTTCTTCATATATTTATATATATTTAACAAAATGCACAGAAAAGTAAATAATCAAAGTTCTGTATAAAGTTACAATCATTTGGATACTTTAATATCCATCACATCAACATTTTATACATAAAAAGTGTATGTGTCAGAGAACTCTAAGGCATTTTTAAGAGTCTTTAAACTAAACTTTTTTTTTTTTTAAAAAAAAAAAGAGAACTATGAGTTTTAATAGATAACACTGGTAAATTTATAACAATGACACATAAAACCAATTTATATCATAATTGATCAATCTCAAAAATATTTTAAAAATATATATACAATTTCAAAACTCACGAAAAACTAGAAATTTTGAACTTTTATGGAGAATCATCAAAATAATTATTTTCAACAACAAATTTTTTTTTATATATAAAATAAAGGGTTAATTTTAAATGAAAGAAAAAAGTTATTTTTCCTTTTGTTGGTTTTGAATATTATTTGATTTACATGTTGGAGTTTGAATAGAATGCAGTATATTTAAAACTTAAAATATTGTCCATGTTAAATTGGTATCAACAATATTATGGTTATCGGATAACAAATACAATTACTTGACAATATTGTCCTTGGCATTATTAAAATTTCCAACATCAAATTATGGGACTAAATTACAAAATACACATGAATCCAAAAAAATAAAAAATTACAAAATACCCATTAGGTTATACACTTATACAAATGGTTTGCAAGTATATCATTAATTCTTCATCTCAATTCTAACAAAATATTATTTTAGTAATATTTGATAATCCATACAGCATGCACATATATAGAGAACATCATTGATTTATCTTCCGTTAGAACCCAAACAAGAAATACTAGAACTACCAAGTAATTTGAGGTACTTGGACCCTCCCCTCCTCTCCTGAGTATTCTTACTCAAGCCTAAACCATATTCACTCCATTGGATACCTTCATCCTTGCACCTCCATTCTATTTATAACAACACTCCCTAACCACTTTCCTATCTAATTACTAAGGTACCCTCGATACTCTAATAATATCCCTTTATTACCCTAAGGGTGATTCCTATCATCTTCAAATATATTTCTGTTGTTTTTAATATTAATTTATTTCTTATTAAGTAGAAGATCTGTAGATCATATATCATTTGCATTTTTATTAACAGTAGTACTTATTTCTTTGTATTTTAATAATTTAAATTTACTGTTACACAAAAAAGAGAGCTCCTATTGTTAATTTTTTTAGACTAAATATTTTTGGAATTTTTTTCTATGTATAGCTAGTCAATAGAAGAGGACTCAACTTACATTTCATGATCCTAAACAGTAAACAATATATAATTATATTTACCGTTATAGTTATTTATTTGTTTATTTTGGTAAGAAACCATTATATTGATATCTGAGAAGAGGACAAGAAATTCTTCCAAGAAAAGAGCTAGAAAAAGGCTCTACATATGCATTTACCAGAAAAGAAGAACAATTAGAAAAAAATATTGTAAGATGACAGATATGGTGACCAAAACTTGCAAAAAAGCATAAAAATTTGACAAAGATTAAAAATCAAGTGAAGCTTATCAAAATTTCAATAATTGACAAGTACTCATTTTCTCATAAATATAACTCCTTACAGCAAGATTTAAAAATAAATAAATAAAAAAACAAAAAACACCAACCCATTTTAATATAAGTAGTAATTTATTGCGAGAGAAAATGAAATCATGTGAAGCCTAAGTCAACTGAAGTATAAACCATCCCAAGTAGAAGTCCTTGAATACACATGGAACCTTCCTTGAAAGTAAAACGATGTTAAGAATTATTTGGAGAAGTAAAATTACCTATAGATGTCACCCACAGTTGGAACCATCGTCAGATTGCTAATAATAGCTTTCGATTTTTCCAAGCTCGACAAATCCTTTGCAGTAATTTTAACCTACAAAAGCGAAATATATCAAGGTTGCGGCCAAAAGAGTCAGAGTTGGCTAAATGAAGTTGAACTGAACATACTATCCCATCATCTTGAGTGTCAATAGCCTCGACTCCTGTTTCCTCTATAATGCTCTTCACTTTTTTTCCACCGCTACCAATGATTAGATTTATTTTTTCAGGTTGGACCTATCAAAGAATCAGAAAAAAGGAAGAAGTAAAAATCAAGTTTTATTATCAATATACTAGGCCAAACTACAACTACAACATCGAAGATGGGCATCGCCAAACCTTCATGACATGAATCAATGGAGCATATTGTGAAAGTCTTTTCGAAGGTGGAGGAGAAGAATTCAACATTTCAGCTGTCAATTGAAAACGACGTAAAATTGTGAAACTCCAGGAATATCACAGAGCTTTACAAACTTATGCCATGGATCACCACAAATTGGTGATTAGAGGGTCAGACAGAATTTAAAAAAAAATATATATATATATATATATTATATTGGACACTGTTGAGATTCAGTCCAAGAATGGAATGCGATATTCTTCTCTATCCATCTCAAGTCTGTTACACTTGTTGATCAAGACCATACTGGCAGAGAGCTTACATCCTTTTAACTCCTTTTATTTGTTAACCTTGTATATTTTCTGATATTTGCATAAATTTTCTTCTATATTCTTACCCATTAAACATTCATTTTTGGCCCGTTTGGATCACGGGTTTATTTCATGGGTATGGATATAAAATATCTGGGAGATAAATATCTGAGATATTAAATCAGCATAGGGAATAAGGAGGAAGTTATAATTGAAAGGAGAAGCCCGAGCTGGATGTGGAATTTCAAAAGGTTTTTCTAGTAAGTTGTGTATATTTACTATATAAATTTATACTTCTGATTTATTATTTAATGGGAAGCTTGCTTCAATCAAGCATCGCTCTTTAGTTGCCTCTCACTTGAGGCAATCAAAAAACTTGTCATCTTTTTTTTTTAGTACAAAAAAAACTAATGCGTACAAGTATATGAAATAATCTCATTAGTGAGGAGTAAAAACAATAACCAACTTACAATATATATTAAACATTGAAAATTAGAGGTAAACCTAGCAAAACCAAAAATCTTAAAGTTCTCTCTTTAAGAAAAAACCACCTTTTGCTAACTGCCAAAATTGCTCTGTGGGAGAAAGTAATCAAATTTCTCCCTCAACAACAAATTCATAACTATGAAAAAGTTCTAAATAAGGAGTATCAAATCAGGATTTACTGACCAAGAATATGCTTACGGCCATCCTTAGCTTGCAGGAGCGCCTCTCTCATAATGGGTATAGTGATGCCTCCAACCTATCATATTGAGACAAATTCTTATCTTCTCGTGGACTTTTGAACCATATCAAGTGAACATATTTAGAGAAAATGACATAAATATAACTAAATCAATGAGAAAGTGAGATAAAATCTAAGAATAGCATACCTTTATGTCCATCTGAAATGCTGTTATGCCCATTTCGTTACCAGCAACCTGTAAACCACCAATTTTATGCATAATATTTGGAGATAGTAACCACCGACCGTCTTAATATTTTGCATATATATGGGAATCTTTTTTGCATCAAAAAATTTTTTTTTTTTTTATAACACGGAATTGGAGCTTTGCTCCCCCTACCGTGCCCACCCCAGTAAAAAATCAACTAATAAGCTCTAAATTTAAAAATAATACCTTAAAATCCATATCTCCAGAAGCATCCTCGGATCCTGTTATGTCAGACAGAATAAGTGGAGTTCCATCTCCCCCAAATTCCTTTGTATCAAGAACCAACCCCATTGCTATACCAGCAATTGGACACCTTATTGGAACTCCAGCATCCTGCAAAGCTAAAGAGCCCCCACAAACGGATGCCATGCTAACATGGAAAACTAATAAATATTAAAAAAAGAGTTTTCAAAATTATATATAATATAACGAACAAAGATATCATAGTTTAGATGTTTTGACAGCACAAAAACATGTGAATCAGCTAACCTCGAGGAGCCATTGCTTTCAGTGATTGTACTCTCAACACGTATGGTATAAGGAAAATCATCTTCAGAAGGTAAAGATGGTTCAAGTGCTCTCTCTGCAAGCGTACCATGACCAATTTCTCTTCGGCTGGGTGCACCAATACGCCCAACTTCTCCAACACATGATGGGGGAAATGAGTACTAAATATGGATAATAGTTATTATATTAGTAAGAATCACCCCACATAATAGTTATTACATTAGGCCATTTGTTATAATAAACTCACAAAACTAAAATCTGAAGAATATGTAAATGAGATAACTGGGACAACTGTGCACAAATTGCAAATTGAACAGCCATAAATACTGATAATTTTTGGTTTACCAGGTCTAAAATAACTCCAAAAAAAAATTCTTCACAATAAACATGATTAGATTTGTCATAATAAGAGCATACAGAAATCAGTATCCCTCTTTACAAGAGCATATGGAAGGCAGATATCTAAAAATGAAAATTTTCCTATGAAAGCTTTAGTCACAGAGGTATTGATACACAAAAGGTGATCCAAAAGCAATGACCAAAATCTTTCTATTGCCTAATGAAGTGTCATGCAAAAATAGCAACAAATTCCAAGAGTACCCAAAAAAAATTATATCTTCTTGGGAAACTGGTCTTCATAAGACTAGAATAAGCTCCTGAGTCCTGATGGATGGACAAGTTCCTCGAAGCCTGTAAGTGTAGCATCCTTATGGCTGAATCAGATTAGAGGCTTTCTTTGGAATACTTGGCTAGAAAGAAACAATAGATTCTTTTGTGGAAAGGAGAGGAACTTTGCTTATTTATTTGACCTTAATTTGCATACGGCTGCCACTAGGTGGAAGCTAGACAAATTATTTTATAATTATTCTCTGCTAATTGGACAGGATATTTTGTGACCCCATTACCCTTGGAGGTTTTCCTCCTTTTGTAATTTCATTAATGTAATGAAATTTTGCTTCTCTGGAAATAATAATAATAATAAATTTACCCCAACTGTGTCTACATCCTGTTTCCTACAAAATGCCTTGTGCCTTTGGCTTTTTAAGCTTGCAGAAGGATTTCTAAAATTAAACGACACTACACCTGATTTGATAAATTGGAATTAAAGAAAACAATAATTTATGATGGTTAAAGAATTGGATGTCATACAGATATATGCAAGCAGTGTTGATAGGTTGAAAACTTGATCAACAAAAATTAAAAAATTAAAATTAAAATTAAAAAATCTATAACAACCTGAAGGTAGAACCTCTTCAACTCATCTACATCGACAAGGTTGTCCACTCTTTGGGCCATTTGCTTATCCCCAAGTGTAACCACTGCAAGTGACTGAAGAAAAAAGAGCATATAAATATTGAAAATATGGCGATATTATGACTTGATACTTTTCCTGCCTACCAAATCAATCCTGGCATACCAAGGGGCAGGAGCAAGAATTACTGGCCTTTAACATCCTTCCATTCCTTGCTTTATTTAGGACTGACTTGAGAGTTTATTTAGTTTCGCCAGTTACGGATGGAAAACCAAACAAAAAGGAACTACAAGATTTTCCTACTAAAAAGCCAAATAAAGCCAGTTTTTTGGGATTGAACCCTAATTCATCTCTCTTTTCTTTTCTAGATAAGGAACATAAAAGAGGTAGCAAAACCAAAGAAGTTGCAGAAAAGATCCTTGATTGATTTATATTATTTACAAAGAGGCGTTTACATTCACACGATGATCTGGTGCTAAATAAGCATATACAAAAATATAGAAATAGTGATTTCCACACACATGCAATAATGATTGTCACAACCTGAGTTTCTCCACGAGTGAAAAGTGTGCTGCCATGTGCCCGAGGAAGTAACCCACATCTTGAGTTAATTGGACGTATCTCAACAGGTGTCCTCCCATCACTTCTTCTTCCACCCTAGCAGTAACATGCAGAGAGAATATGAAAACATTGCCATGGGAATAATTTTGGTTACTGAAAACCTTCTGCTATATCAAACTAAGTTCTTTGAGCTACAAAATCACCTTTCACTAGTAAACAACGATTTTTATGACTCCCCTTGACTTTTGATTCTCTTATTTTAGTCTTTCTTTCTCTTTTCACTCTTTCAGGAGTTTGTATCCTTGAGCCATTTTGTTCCTTTGTATTTATCAATAAAAAGCTTGTATTTTGTTAAAAAGGAAAAAAAAAGAAACAAAGAAACAAAGACTTTCAATGGAGAGGAGTTTTTTTTCTTTTTTTTCCTTGTTAATAAAGAACAAACTTTTCATCGATGAGTGAAAAGTTACAATAATGCTTGTACATAACCAACTCCCATAAGAAGTAAAATAAAATAAAATTACAACCTCCTACTTGAAGAGCATCAAAATTGCATAAAAGCCCCCAATTATGACAACTATCATTGAAAGAGTAATTAACAAAAAATGGAGATAAAGAACACTACCAAGATTATTCAATTTTAGCTAATTCAATACATTCACTCCATATTGACAACACTATTATCCAAATTGCAGGCCATAAATTGAATGAGAAGAACTATCTACAATGGTTGAAATCCATGCTCCTATTATTATTATTACTATTTTTTATTTTTATCAAAAACCATGCTTTCATTGAGAAGAATGAAATAATACAAAAAGGCATACAAAAAGATAGCCTAACAAAAGGAGCCAAACTAAAATAATGAGCTCCAATCTAACAAGGACAATCCTAAGGATTAATTACATAAATATTTAGATACAAAAGCCCAAAGAGAGATGTGAGACTAAGTAAGGGCACAAACCTCTTCCCAATATCTCTCAACCCCTCTAAAAATCCTGTTGTTTTTCTCATTCTACAAGCTTCACAGAATAGTGAAAAAACAAAATCCATGCTCAATTGGAAAGGAGAAGATCAGTATCTACTTGGATATTAAAAGCAACCAACCGCTGATGACCCAAAATTTCAAGCAGGTAAAGTCGACAATAGCCTGGTACTGTCCTGGTTAATTATTTCAATACATACTTACGTGGGGAAAAATTCTCACTTAGGCTCAAGGCAAAGAAAATCAGGGGCAATATTATGGAAAATTTTTCTGATCCAGAAAATACTGGAATGCTCTTTGAAATTGAAAGAAAACTATATGATTTCAAGAACGGGAGCTACCACTAAGACTATACTTGAGTGCTTACACAGTTATGGCAAGAAGACATGTATGAATGCTATGATTGATAATGTGCAACTAATACCAAAATCTACCAGAATATTTTGGAGAGATCAAATCTACAAATTTACGTTGGGACAACAAAAATTTGGATAAGTTAGAGGTAGAACCCTACCGATAAAGCCTCTCCCTACTATTCATGAGGCATTTGCTAAAGTACGACATGAAGATTACATTGTGGAAAACATATTCCATAGAGTATAAAGCAATCATACCTCCACAATGCGTCTCCTGAGAAACTTGGATGTCACTTCTTTAAATACTAACTTCACGTCTACCTCAGAAAAGAGCTATAAGAAATAGAAACATATGGTGTTAAAGAAACTACATAATATAAAAAATCATATGAAGAAAGAATGCAAATTAACAAAAGATAACTATTCTAAAAACAGTGCAACCAAAAGAAGACATTTTCTTAACGAAGAGCACATCATAATACAAATACAAATAGATATGGTCGCGAAGGAAAACCTGAGTGTGTCACTTTCAAGTTAGTGGTGAAGACAACTAAAAATAGAACAAAATAGGAAAACATTCAAAATTTACCCCGAAGTTAACAAGGTGTGTCAATTTTTGTACTAAAATTTCAATTTCATCCGATTGAACCTTTACTTTGACATATGTACCAAGTGTTACCTTTTTCATGCTTCATTAAAATAATTCCCACATGCATTGCAATTGATTACAATCGAACATTTGCAATGAAATTGATGGAGTATGGAGTAGAAAGAAGACGCTAAAAGTGGAATTTTGTTGAAATTGGAGTTTTAGGAGATTTATTCCACAGTCAATCTAGATCATTGATTTACTAGAGCTTGATTTGTGAATTGATTTGTTGGAGCTTGATCTCTGTTGAAATTAGTGGATTTTGGGACATTTCTAACTTGGTTTTTTGTTAAATTTAGAAGCCTAATGCAACGGAAGCCTAACAAAAGCCAAAAGGTAATAGTTGCAATAGTTATCCGAGTCTAAGATCTAATTCGATGAAATTCAAAATATAGGGTAAGAACTTATTCACCTTCCAAACTTCATAATGTTTTCCAATAAAATAAACAATTATAACCATAAGAGAATAAATAGGCAATATCCATATAAAAAATATTATCAAATAAAAAAATGAAGCAGTGTGAAACAGAACAAAGAGGCAGAATCTACATAAGATATATTATCAAATAAAAAAAATGAGGCAGTACGACACAGTGACTGGAAGTAACAAAGTTTTATCCAAATGATTTTTTATATTTATCGAGTAGAAACTTGAAATTACCCTCATTAAAATATGATGCCATATCCTACTTAAGTGGCTGGAAGGAGATTTAGATTCATGATGTTGGTTCACATATAGAAAAGCACTTCACTAATTTGGTTGATATTTGAGGTTTGAGCAAATTCTCTCCTCACGCAAGCATTTTACTGATTTACTCAGTGAAGCATTGGGTTATTTCAGATTAAAAATATTATTGGGGCTATGATGGTTTGTTTATAATCATATATTATGTCCACATTACTCTTGGAACAGAAGAAGACTAGAAGAAATAACCAAATACTATCCAAACAACCAAATATAACTAGGGTAGAAGAGTTGAGCATTACTGTCAGAACAGGCTTGCGTGAAGTTGGTTTTATATGGACATCACCTTCATCGACTTCACCATCAACCACCACTTCATCATCCTCATCTTCATCCTCCACCAAATCAGGTATAGGTTCTAGACCCCCTGAAGTAGTATCTGTACTGACGTAACCTTCTTCTGTCAATATGGTAATAACTTTTTCTTCTAATGATGAGAGAGCCTTTCTTCGAGGAATTTTGTTTCTAATTTGGAGGACTTTTTCTATCTCATTTCCAGCAATTTCCTACATGAAAAATTATTCTAGCAATCATCCATCATATGAATAAAGAGCATTCCACAAAACAAGCGGACATAAAAGATTAGTGAAATGTCTTCCATTTAAAAATCATAATAAAGCAGAATTCAAAGATTCTAAGAACTTGAAAGCTCCAATATTAGAAACAAACACCATAGTGTCCATTGACGGACTGTAACATTACCATTCAAGTAACTGAATCATGTAATTGAATCACAATGACAATAACACAAGCATTATTTACCATCACTCTTCTCGGTTTACAGTAGCAAGGATATAAAAGAAAATGTAGTAACAATAGTGAGCACTATAAAAAAGATATGCTCTTTTATGTAAAAATAGGAACTAAGAGAGGAATAATCTATTTATTTGTTGTGAAAAAACTGATGCTCATTCCTTCAATTGGAAGCATTGATCCAATTCAATAAAATTATGTTTCGTAGAGAGATTTCTTTTCTAGTTTTGTTGACTATTTTGACAAAGACATCATTTTCTCAAGGACCCTAAATGAAGGTGCAAATCTAATGTAATTTTCTTTGAATTGTTCTCTTAAAAAGAAAATGTACAAAATCTACCAAAGGCATGTATTGATGCAGAAGAAGAATTTCTTCAGGCTTTCGCACATTATATTAATGAAGGTGAAACCATCATGGGTGGCCCATCGGTCCAAAGGGGTTAGGGTTAATAAATGGGGAATGGGTTCAAACCCCATGATGGCCACCCACCTTAGGAATTAGTAATTTCTATATGTTTCCCGACACCAAATGTTGGAGGGTCATGCAATTGTCTCATGAGATTAGTCGAGGTGTGCGTAAATTGTCCCGGACACTCACGGATATCAAAAAAAAAATATATATATATATTAACGAAGGTGATGAAATTTTGCTTTGCTTGGTAAGTCTTCTGCAAATAATGAAAAAGTTACCACCACTCTTCACACTTGGTTTCTTATTCTTCCAATTGGCTGGTTTCCCACGAAGTTTTCAAAAGGTTTCCGTGTGCCGCAATGTATTACAATAATTACACTAGACACGAGATTTCTCATACCCTTAGCAATTGCTTCCGTCACCAACATAAAACCTTCAATAGTGTTGCTTGTACTTTTCTTACGAAGCATAAAATTTTGATGGCTCTCATCACTTCGAACTTCAGATGCCTTTCTACCAATGATCCTACCTCTTACCTCACCAAATTCCACATTACGACCAGCAAGGAAATTGTAAATTCAATCGTCCTCTATTGTTTTCATGTGATGTTTAGTGTCATCTAGAGATTTCCATTTATAAGTATGAAAAAGGTCTAGGTCTTGCCAAATCCTTTTCAAAGAACCACTTAATTTTAAGGTCATTTGAAATACCTATGACTAATTGCCCAAATTAGAATACATCTCAATCTCATTTACTTTATCTCATAACTCCTTTGCAGTAGTAGAAATAACACAAATAATTTGCATGGTCATTCCATATAATTCATAAACTACAATTTTGCTTCAAGGTTTTGGGAAGACTCCTAACTACTTTGGGGTGGAAACAGCCCTGAATAACCATCCCTCAACCTTCCTTGACTATCTCTTGTCTGGTCATCCTTTCAAAAAAAATAATGCAACTCTCTAGGTCCAGTTCATCTGGGCTTACCGTTTATGGTCAGAGGGGAACAATAGGATCTTTAATGACAAACCCTCCCTTCGAATCTCTTTTTGATAGAGCTACTGTTTTAGCTCAAGGTTGGTGTTGAATTAGTTAGAAGTTAAGATTATGTGGACTTAGTTAGAAGTTGTTTTAAAGTTGTTTAGATTTTGTGTTTAAATTTAGCAAATAAATCTTCTTTTTTGTTAGGGAAGTTAGGAGGTTATTCCTAGATTTTGTTTCCTCTTGTAACCTATAAATAGTGCCTCTATTCCTCATCTTTGATCAATCAATTTGAGAATTTATTTCTTCTCTCTTTTGTCGTGTATGTCTCTCTGGTGTCTCTATCCTTAGTTTTTATGGTATCAGAGCTAGGTTTAGATTGACACCAGAATGGTTAAAACAGCCATGATGACTGATGTGCGCAAGGATGAGAGTTCCGACGGATCAAATACGACCTCAATTTCTCTCCCTAAAAGCACATCCACGACACCTCACATCTCTATCTCTGAAAACACTTCGCTCCAAATTACCTGTCCAAAACTCAACGGAAAAAATTTTCTGCAA